AGAGAGAGAGAGAGAAAGAAGGCATCGACACTTTTCAAGGTTGATGAAGAATGAAAATATGGCAAGCTTTCTATGCTTCCCCTACAACATAAAACTTATATGCTTCTCTTTATCCAACTATCCATTCGGAATGGAGGGTTAAGATTGCCCCAATAACAATGTCGCATCTCTACACTATTTCATTTTTAATTTTTTTCTATAAACTATTTTGACACTAAATTCCTCTATTAAACTCGCACTAGTGGAAAATATTAAAACAATATTTCAAAAAAATTAAAATGACCAAAATATCCTTGAAAGTTTCAAGGGATATTTTGATCATTATATTTTATCGAAAAATTATTTTTTAATATTTTTTATAGGTGAGCCCCAATAAGAAGATGGCACGTATCAAATTTCATATTCATAAAATTTGTATAAAAAAAAACTAAAAATTAAATACTTTGAGACGTCGAATCTAAAATCAAATGGTGAATGGCTCTCTTGATCAAAATTGGACGGCTGGATGGTAGGGGAAGAACTTCTATGTTGTAGGGGAAGTATAGAAACCTTTCCCATATTTTCTTATATATATATATGAGAAAAGATCATGTCACCCCAATGGCGTACTGTTGCAGTAAACGCCAACAACCCAGATTGAATCTGAGACGATCTAACGATCTTGGATGTCTAGTAGTGCTTAATTTTTAATTGTTCTTTTTACAAATCGAAATAATTGGAAATTTGGAGCGTGTGTACAAAACATATATATGAATCTTCAAAAAATATAAAAAAAAATATTTTACATGAAAACATTGATCAAAATACCCCTGAAACATTTCAGGGGTATTTTGGTCAATTTTATTTTTTCGGATTATTTTTTTATATTTTTAATAGGTGATCTTTGATAAGAAGAACATACACCTAAAATTTCAAGTGATTTGGATTTATAGACAAAAATTAAAATTCAAACACGAAAAGAGGTCGTGACCGTCAAATCGGCCCAGATTCTATTTGGGCCATTAGTGTTTACTGTAGCAGTTAGCTAGTGGGCATACTCAATCTACTCCCTCT